TCTTTCTTTCTTTCTTTCTTTCTTTCTTTCTTTCTTTCTTTCCTTCTTTCTTTCTAATTTATATAGCTGCCCATCTCACATAGATGATTATCAGTGACTTATAAAATTAAAACAACAACCCCCCCAGACAACCCCTGGTGCCCAAGAAAACCTTGATTCAACTCATGCACAATAACAGTGGAACTCATCCACCCCCTGGCCCAAAATCCTAGGGGAACAGCCAGGTCTTCAATGTCTTGCTAATGGCTAACAGGGTTTGGCCTTCCAAATCTTCTGGGTGATATTGTTCCATAGGGCAGGTGTTGCCACTGAGAAGACACAATTCCAGGGTCCAATAAGATTACATTGTTTAATAGAAGGGATCTGATAGAGTTAAGCTGTGTTGGACTTATTCCTCAATATACCTGAATAGGAATTTAGTCTAAATCATCAAGATAACAAAAATAGAGGGAAATAGATTGCCTTCCTTGCCACTTCAGTAATATATTCGGCACTGAAACAGCTATTTTCCTTGTCTTTATTTCTGTTGGTCTCTTTTAGTACTTTGGAATTTGTACTGTATTTTGGAATTATGGTGTTTATGTAGAGTTGCATGCATAATATATAATTAACATGTAGCAAAAGCAGTATAATGCCTAATTTGGTCATTCAGCCGAAAGAAGTGTTGGAGAAAACTGGATATTTGCAAGAACGATATTGAGAAGCATAAAAATTTCATTATAAAAAAAGAGGACAAAAAGTTATATAACCATAGTTTTTACAAAGAGATATGTCCTCTGCTAGAGAATTAGGAATGTTTTATATAACACCAGAACCAACCATTGAACACCCCCAATATTTCCAGGAGACTACTGGTAGATTTCGAATGCTTTATTTAGCAGCATAAGCATCTCATGTTCACTCAGTCATTCAGTTATTGCATACCAAAGTTGCCAAAGTGACCAATGGGCAGGAGAATTGCTATTTTGATCGGCTGGTACATGGGACTTCAAACTACTCTTCCCTCCAATTCTGTTTTATCTCTACAGTTGACTCTCATAGTCTTCCACTGCAAGTTTTATAAATATATTTCACTAGACATGGAAAACTGAAAATAAAAATAAAAAAGGAATGCTTGTTTCAGAAACATACTTCAGAAGTGTTCTAAGTTCTCTTCTCAACTGTAGATTCCCACAACTTCATTTTTTGTAGTTGTTGAGATTGGTATATGGTTGATGGTTAGTCATGTAGCTGTATTTTAGTCTTCTTATTGTATCTGTCAAGAATAAGCCACTCAGAGGGTTACGAGCTGTATCAAAATAATTAAACTGAAAGGGGATGTATAGCATATAAACTGAAGCATTATGCTGTCTGAAAGTTAATTTCCAGTTGAAATCCCAAGGGTTGGCTCTTTACTTCAAAGCCCACAGAGCTGAAGTGCAGGGAAGCTGGAAGAAAGTCTCTTTGTGTATGCCCCTCAATATTTCTTGTGATAATCTGACAATCTAGAGTTGCCGTGTGTTTATTTGACAGCTCTTTGAGGTGGAGCTTTCTCGGTTATCACTGAACTTCTTTTGAGGGAGTTTCCTGGGGATGTGAGGGGCCTAACATATTTATTAGCCTGTGAAAAAACTCTTCGAAGTGTGTTTTTTTTCCACATAATTTTATTAAAGGTTATAATTACTATAGTAGAAACTATATAAACTAAAAGAGAGGTTAAAAAAAATAGAAAGATTAAAAGGTAGAAAGGGAAAAGAAAAAGAAAAGAAGAAAAGAAAGAAAAGTAAGAATATAGTAAAGAAAAGAAAAGAAATATATAAAGAAGTGACTTCCAACCATCATAATAAGAATAAACAATTTTACTAACTTTTCACCTCTTCTTAAATTACAAGAAATGATCTCTTCTTCTCATATCCCATCATTTAGCTATTGAAAAAAAAAAAAAAAGCATTGTCATTTCAGTCTTGGTGTCAGCAAAAGTCCATTAAGGGTTACCAGAAATTACAACATATCTATCTTAATCAAATAGACCAGCTTTATATTCCTTCCTTTTACTTCTTACAATCTTAATCTTTATTCCAGTCACATAATGGTGTAAAACTTGATTTCATTTCATTTCTTCTTCATCCCTTCTCACAAGATTCTTCAAAGCTTTATCAAGTCTCTTTTGTAAGTCCAATATAGAAAAATTATCCAGGTCACTCTTTTGATTTGTTATTTGTATATCCCTTTTAATTATTAAAACATCAGCTGGTTTCTTCTGTATGTCCAGTGTAACATCTTTTACTGTGCCATTCCCATCACCTGCACTTTCAAATGCACTTCCAAGTCAATCTTGATCTTGTCAGGAAAACTTCTTCTTCCATAACATCTTTTTGGCACAGTCTACCTATAGAGGCAGGTACTATTGAAACTAACTTCTGGGACTATTTTTTTCAAAAATATCCTTCAATATGCCCAATGTTAAAATATTTTGCTTCATTCACTAATTGTAAGTTGACTTTGCGTATTCTTCTCCTTTTATTGTAATCTTGAATTCCTTCTAGCTTCCTCTAGTGTCCAATTTTTAAAGTCTTATCTTAATTTTTTTAATCAAAATAAAAGTATTTTCCGCAGAATGCCCCTCACGAAGTATTCACCATTTCTGAAAATGCAATCAGATGGCCCAAGGCTTTCAACTAGGTATAGCTCATAGTAAGAGGTGTCAATCATCCCCCCTTCACATATTTATGGATGTGAAATGTCCCATTTCTTCCCATTCCAGCATTTTAAAATTCCTTTTTATGTTCCGAATTACACAATGCGCCTACAGCATATCGATGTTTGCCCATGTTTCTCTGCTTTGTTGAAGACCTGTTACAGTGCAAGGGTACAGAGTATGGACCAACATATAGCTGGGTCATTTCTGTATTGAAAGAACAGAATTAACGGCCAAATGAAACTACCTTCCAAGTCTGTCAAAGTCACCTTACGTGTATAATTATACAATTCAGTGAAATTTAAGCAATAAGGCAGTCCATTTTTTTTTTTTTTTGTTCCAACCTAGTAATCTGCTAAGATACTGATGTGAAGGGGAAAAAAGGGCCACATCTCTGGGTACCTCTTTCAATCAAATGATTCTCTGTGGGGCAAATATCCAGCTTCTTTAAGTGGTTGTTGACAAATGTTATATGTGCTCTCACCTGTGGTCATCAACTCATAAGCCTCATAGCAGGCTTAGAACTGATGTTGGATCGCCTTGATAGTGAAAACACTAAAATGACCTTGGGAATTGTGAAGAAATGTATGACCTGTTAAGGGAGGACTTGTAGAAAAGATTACACAGCTCTGAGAAAGAGGGAAGTGTGAGAAAGAAACTCAAAATAACCTCTCTTTAATTGTATTTCATGTAAGATAGTAAAGGGAGAAAACTAGACAGACTTTCAAGATTCTGTTATTCTATCTTACTACAAAAAACATCATTCTTGGAAGCCCTGCCATCCCTGTTTCTTGATCTATCCCATCCCAAAGGGCTGGCAATCAAAGACTCTCTGCTCCTGAGATTCTCGAGTATGTATGTAGTACGCAAGTATGTACAGTATGTGTTTTATCCAATATGTATGCTGCCTGACTCCCAATGACTCTGGGCAAAAAAAAAAAAGAAAGAAAAAGGAAAACTATAAAACAATAAAAATAATATAGCAATCGAAGAGGCAAAGACAGCAAAATGTCGCAGCAACAAATAATCAACTACGCCCCTCCTAAGCAAGGGCCTGGGTGAAGAACCAGGTCTTCAAGGCCCTCTGAAATGCCAGTAGCCACCCAGATCTCAGGGGGCCTCCTTGCAGAGGAGTAACAGAGAAGACATACTTATGGGGCCCTGATAGATTACATTGTTTATTTGAAGGAACCCAGAGTGTGCCAACCCTGCCAGATCAAAGCAGCCGGGAAGATACTAGGGGAGATAGGCCATCCCTCAGATAGCCAGGCACTATGCCATGGAGGGCTTTCCAGGCAATGACCAGCATCTTGAATCCCACCTAGAATCAAACTGGCAACCAGAGGAGCTTGCAAAGCAGAGGTATTATATGGGCATATGGGCATACTGAAGCATGCCCATCACTGCCCTCACCATATATAGGGTGTATGTAAGAATGTATGTTTGTATGTACATGTGTATGTTGAGAGTCTGTTTGGGGTATGGCAAAGGCACCAGGCTAGAAACTGGGAGACCATGAGTTCTAGTCCCACTAGGCACAAAGCCAGCTGGGTGATCTTGGGCAAGTTACTCTCTCTCTGCCTTAAGAAGCAGGCAATAGCAAGCACTTCTGAAATCTACCTACTCCTACCTTTTCATGTTGAAGAAGTTCAGTCTCCATGCTCTGGGGTCCAGTTCCAATAAGGTCTGGGAGTTCATGGCTTTCATGAAAATCATGAACTTGTTTCAGGAAATCTCAGGCCTAAAACATGTACGCTGTCATATATTAAACCTTGTCTGTTTCTGAGAGCAGATGTATGATCTCGCAATGGAAGGGATTTCCACAACTCTATTGCCCTGATCCATTTGTGGTCAAGAACTACCTATGGCCTCTATGGGATGGCAGATGCAGTTTAAATAGTCTACCCCAGGTGCCTAATGAATCTTACTGGTTTCCAGAGGTCTCTTTGGCAGGTGGTTTAGTTCTGACCCTAGTAAACCACTGATAACAGGAGCCAAAATCTTAACTCCTCGTGGGCATAGTCTTGGGTAGCAACTAGAACACAGTCTTGCCATATTATTTATTTTGGCCTGTGATTTCTGACAAAGTGGATAAGATTTTCCTCTACCACATGTAGTTTGGACCCTTTCCATTGCTGTTGCAAGAAGCAGGTGGAAAAGTGACCACCTGGATCCATAAGATTGTGAATCATTTCTTAATGAGGGGGAAGCTGCCAGCAGCCCTGAAAAAACCTGTGATGTCTCCCCTTCTGAAGAAGCTATTTCTGGATCCTGCAGTCTTAGATAAATACCATCCAATTTCCAATCTCCTCTTTTTGGGAAAAGTTGTTGAGCCCGTGGTAGCACCTTAGAAGAAGCTAATTATCTGGACCCCTTCCAGTCAAGTGTCAACCCAGGTATTGAACTGAGAACTTTGGTCATTCTGCTGGATGACCTTTATTAAGACCTGGATATGGTTAGTGCCCCATTCCTCCTCCTTTTAAACCTTTCAGTAGCTATTGATACCATCAACCATGAAATCTTCCTGGACCACCTGTGGGATTAATGGTGGTTTTGCTCCTTCCTTAGTGAATGATTCTTGTCTGTTGTAGTGGGAGATAAGAGGTCTACCTGGTAGGCCCTGACTTAGGGAGCACCACAGGAATTGGTCCTCTTTCTCTTTTACATCTATGTGAAACCTCCAGGGGAATTCATCTAATATTTGGAGTGCAGTATCATCAATATGCTGTTGATACCCAATTATATGCCATCACACAGGCAGTAAGGGAGAAACTGTAAGGGTTCTATCCTGATGCCTGTAAGGGTCTGGACAGGAAAGAACAGAAGCCAAGCAAGATGGACTTGCTGTTTGTACATTGAGGTTCTCCATCAATGTCTTTACCATTGGTGGGTGGGGGGCCACTTGTCATTCTGGACTCACAGCTCCTGCTTGAAAAGTAGGTGGAAGCCATGGATAGGGAAGCCCACTTCTGGCTGGTGCACCAATTGTTTCCTTACCTGGTGCAGGTGAACCTGGTTATAGTAACTCACAGTTCTATGCAGTTTACATGGGGCTGCATTTAATCCTAATGCTGTGATGATTTAGCAGCAATACTATAGCCTCTGTATTTATTACCAGTTCAGTTCTGGGTACAACCTGAAGTGCTGATTTTAACTTCTAAGGCCTTTTATGGCTTAGCACCACAAATGAAAGATCCTTTTTGGTGACAAACTGTCCAACATTTCGAAGAATAATCAAGAGATATATACGTGCCAATCTGACTAGAATCAAGTGCCATTGAGGTATAATCTTCCACTGATTTTCTTGATGATTTTTAGATGTTGAACTTTTTGGGAGAACTTTGAACTTTTGGGGAGAACATTGCAGTAATTTTTCACTCACTTACAGCACCATTTTTAAAATGATTTTTACTGTGATCCTGCATGTGGCTGTTATTCTTATCTTTATTATTTTTATGTTGCTCATATTTTATTTGATTTATATTTATTTATTTATTTATTTATTTATTTATTTATTTATTTATTTATTTTTGTATTTTGTACGTCCTGTGAGACTATGGTGGGATATCAAACAAACAATTTTTCACTCACTTACAGCACTGTATTTTGTACGTCCTGTGAGACTATGGTGGGATATCAAACAAACTTTATTTATTTTTGTATTTTGTACGTCCTGTGAGACTATGGTGGGATATCAAACAAACAAATAAGCAAACTGCTGTGAATGAATGTAAGGCCATTTTGCTTTAAAAACTAGAACTTTCTTCCTATCTTCATACAAATGCAGAAAACTTCTTTTTTTTTTTAGTTCTCATTGCTGTCAGTAATTACAAGCTGCTGCAACTCTTGCCATCCCACTGAAGAAAAGCCGACAACTATTGAGATAACAAAAACATGTTTACTCTTCATGGTTTCCTAGGACCTTGATTCTGAATTGTTGACCTTTCCATTGTCATTATCAGTTCCCATATCATTATTTCATCTTCATCTCCTAGTGGCAGGGGGGCTGTAGTTGTAGGCACCAGCACAAGTAGAAATACTCTTAATGAAGAACAGCATTGGGAAACATCGATTGTCTTACAGATAAAACCTTTTATTCATTATGATGATACTGCAGCCTTGATTTTACTGCTTTTGCCTGAAGCAATGTACATGATTCCCAGCGCTAAATGTAGGATCAGTGATCCTCTGCCTTTTCTTCACAAGCAGTATCAGTCAGGAGACTTCATTATTGTGGGCATTCTCTCTCAGATTTACATCTTCTATGCAATGATAGACTTCAGAAAACATCCATCTAAGAAGCTCTTTGAGGACATTGTGTAAGAATTTTTACACACACACACACACAGAGAGAGAGAGAGAGAGAGAGAGTAGAAAGAGAATAGAATAGTTCCTTTATTGATGAATCATTTTTATGCTTATACTGTGACACAGAAAAGGGCAGAGTAGATTAAGTACAGAAAAATGAAATCTCAGTAAATTCTTCTGCAGAAGCAATTATTTTTAAAGAAGGGGAATACATGTTTTCTGTCAAAGAAGTATTCATGTTTATTTGGAGACCAGTAGTCAATGCCTTGAGATTCTACTTTGTGAAGGGAAAGAGGATTCCTTTGAAGATAATTTGAGGGTAAAAATCATTATTGGAACAAAATCATTCTCATATTAGTTTTCAAAAAGTATGATTATTGGTCCACAAAACACTTTGATTATTGGATGGGTGAATTAATCAGGTTGCCAATAAGTGTCATTTGTAGGTAGGAAAATATATAGATAGACAACATATTGATAGATCATTAGATGATTGATAAATCATTAGATAGATAGATAGATAGATAGATAGATAGATAGATAGATAGATAGATAGATAAGAGGGAGAGGGAGAGGGAGAGGGAGAGGGAGAGGGAGAGGGAGAAGGAGAGGGATGTTAAGAACATTAAACTTAACTGACATATACCATGTATCACAATTTCAGCAGAGTGTATTGTGATAGAATATATAATGCTTATTTTAGGGTCATGACTCCAATGTACCAGCACATCCTGGCTTTAGAATTTGCCATCATGGAGATCAATAGAAATCCCTATATTTTACCAAACCATACCCTGGGCTCCCATATCTATAATACCTATTTTAACCCAAGTTGGACATACCGTGCCTCATTGGAACTCTTCTTTACAAAGGGCCAATTCATACCTAACTACAACTGTGATATTCAAAACAGACCAATAGCAGTCATTGGAGGACCTACCTCTGATATCTACCTATTCATGAATAACATCCTTTCCCTGTACAAGATGCCACAGGTATGTGGTTTCCATGGAATTTAGTGATAGGAGGTAAAGATCCATATAATGTTTCTCTACAGAAATGTTCATGAGAAAAAAATATTGTGATTGAAATAAAGAAGCTACATTTCAGAAAATGTAGGCTTCTGAAGACTGCAAGTGAACTGTCGAGTGGTTTGGTAATGCCACAGGGCCTTAATTCTTAAGCTGTTTTGATGTTTCAAGGGGCTACAGTTTTAATGGATGTGCTATATGTTGTCCAGGAGTAACATTTCATTGGTTATTTCAGAGAAAGAATTGCTAAACATGTGGTGGTACATAGTCAGGATTGCAAAACTGGGGCTGGGAACACATGAGGCTTGAAGACTATACTATTCAACCCTTACTTAATACCTGACTGTAATTGTACAACTATATTTTGCTGTATTTTTCAGCAAAATCAGTATTCTCCAAAGTGAATATAATCAAGGTTCACCCAACCGAGTGGTTAGGAGTATTTTTTTTAAGAACACTTAATATTGATTTTGTTTCAGTTTCTCTCTGCCCTGCTAATATTCTCCTTGGAAGTGAGATGAACTTCTCTGGGAATATTGTATCAGCAGAGTTTAAAGGAACTGGAGGAATTACCAATTAAATAATATATTGTAAATTAATCTTAATAAATAATATTTAATTTGGGGTATACAAATTGCATCACTTAAACATTTAATTTAAGTGATGCAATTTGTATGCTCCAAAGTAAATATTGTGCCTTGAGATATGATGTTGGAAATCCCAGACATGCAGATTATTCTCTAAGTTTTCCTACAGAAACATAGCCTGAGATGACTCATATCCATGAAATATAAACTGGGGTAACTGCTTGAAAAAATAAATGCAACTCTGAACCATGGACCTATTGCTTATGCTTGCTTATGCAGCTCAGGCTTAGAAGTGATGGCATAGCAATCTCCATATTCAGGTGGAAATCTGCTGATTGCATTTAGTACTCTTCTCTTAACTCATGAGAGTTTTGAGAAATGCTGAACCTTCCTGTCCCATTAGCTCATTTGAATATGAATGTGAAACTTAGATGGAACTGGGTTTTGGTTTCTAATTTGGTGGACAAAACAAGGGAAGGAATATGAGTATACACCAACTTTTTATTTTATACAAAAATAATATGAATCCCCCCCCCCTTTTTTTTTCTGTTTGTTTCTCTGTTTCTAGCTAATATATGGTTCTGCTCCTGAAATTAGTGCAAAAGGACAAGCTGCTTTTTACCAACAGATGTTACCAAATATGGACCATCAGTACAGGGGCATTTGTCAATTACTGCTATATTTCAAATGGACATGGGTTGGGATGCTGTCTGTGGACAATGACAGTGGTGAAATGTTTCTACGCAGGGTAGTTCCCATGGCTACCCAGAATGGTATCTGCTTTGGCTTCATTGCAAGATTTCCAATAACTGTTTATTCAAATAATATTATAGAACTGTTAGAAATAGGATTTGACACATACAAACTGGTTATGAGAAGTACTGTCATTGCAGTAATCGTTCATGGTGAAATTGGTAACATGATAACTCTAAGATTTCTTTCCAGTAATTTGAAATATGAGGATTTATCACTATGGACAAAAAGTAAAGTCTGGATTATGACACTCCAGATAGATTTCACATCACTTCCCTTTCAAAGAAATAGTGACCTGGCTTTCCTGCATGGTGCTTTATCTTTTGCAATTCACTCTGAAAAGGTGTTGGGATTCCAGCAATTTGTTCAGACGAGAAACCCTATCTTGGAAAAAGAAGACAGTTTTATTAAGATGTTCTGGAAAAGTGCATTTGAATGTTCCTTCTCCATCTCTGTAATAGAAGAGGAAGATGAGGACACCTGTACTGGAGAGGAGAAACTGGAGACTCTTCCTACATCTGTGTTTGAAATGGACATGACTGGGCACAGCTACAGCATCTACAATGCAGTTCATGTGGTGGCACATGCTTTGCATGACTTCCATTCATCTATAATGAAATACAGAGCAGGAGACCTTGAAGCCAAAGGGAAACTTCTGAACCAACATCTATGGAAGGTAAAATCCCAAGCAGGCAAATTACAGAGGGCTCACTCTATCTTTCATCTAGATTTCTGAAGAATTCATTCTTCCAAGAATTCATTCTGAAGAATTCATTCTTCCAATATAGGTGAAAGTGTGTACTTTTGCTAAACATACATTGATTGATTGGTTGGTTGGTTGATTGATTGATAGATTGATTTACAGTCCAAGACCAAGTCATAACATTTAAAATACAGCACACCGTTAATACATACATATGTAACAATACATACATATAGAATAGGAAGAAACCGTATAAAATTAGGAATTGATTGGAGGCACCAAATGGTTCCTTTAAGCTAAAGCTATAAATAAAAACGTCGCTACTGCCTTCAAAACACCCAGGTATTGCTCATTTAGTAAGACTAAACATACATTTCTCTCTAGCTGAAGTCCATATAATTTCTTTTAAAACATTGTATTCTGTATATCTATTTGAGCAGAGAGCAATCTGCTATTTGCTCATTTGGTATTAACAGAGGTATTCTTTTCTCCTTACATGGTTTTCTTATGTGTTTACTGAACCTCTCCATTGTGAGAGGTTTCTGAAATCCAAAGACATACTCCAAATTCAATTTCTTTGAAAGGAAATCAGTGTTGTTATTTCTGTACTAGACATTTTAAAAAAAATTGTAATAAGGTCCTCATCATTAGTATTCTAACATTTTTTTATAAAGCCTTCTGTATCATCCATCCCTTCACACTCTCTTTTATATTCTCCTCAATATAGATTTTTGTCTCTCAGTTATCTTAATCTTTTTTTCCCAGATCCATTTGAAATAATATTTATCCTCTGTTTTTAACTGCTTAATACTGAGATCTATTATTTTGTTTCATTTCTTCTGTGCTATGAAGACTGTGTAATCATAATTACCATCAGTAATGTTAAGTATTAATGCTGTTATTATTATTGCCCATTATGCTTCACAAACCTTTAAAAGCATTGCTTATCTATATGCTTTAAAGGGGAGAAAGAGTATTGTTGTACAACCTGATATGTATTTCCATTTCTTTTCTTTTCTGATTTAGCTTAACCACTTTATGAGAAGGATTTCATTCAATAACAGTGCTGGGCAAAAAATTTGGTTCAGCAAAAATGGAGAGTTAGAGACCAGATATGATATTATTAATTGGATCACATTTTCAAATCTGTCCTTTAAGAAAGTCCGAGTTGGAGGCATAGACCTCATGGATTCCCAACAAAAGACATTCACAATTGATGAGGATGATATTGTATGGCCAAGTAGGTTTAACCAGGTATGATCCAGTCACATTTTTGGCCTGTATTCAGCCCTGATTTCACCACTCCTAAAGCTCCCTTAGAGCTAAGATCTTCCACAGCAATGACCTTCAGAAACAAACTCTATATGTATTCTCTCCCTGAAATTTTTCCAGCCTATCTGGTAGACTTAGAAAGTCTTTCACTGGTAACTTCTTGGATACCTTCTAGGGTAAGAGTGTGAATGGAAAGAAAGGAGTAGGCAAGAAAGAGAGTTGCCTGTAGAAGGAATGAGACAACTTTTACATTCACTAAGAGCCTTAAGGATGTGCAAAAAGAAAGATGGGCCAAGGAAAACTTCAGATCAATCCCTGTGTCAAGTGATCTTTTTCTTGGTAATGAATAAAGTAATGAGGTCAATATTTATGCTCACATTAAGTCAAAAAGCTATTCAAAACTTTTCCACCCAAAAGCATCCTTCTCTGTCTCATTTTATTATGCCAAAAAGAAAGATATAATGGATGGATGCTTCTAAAAACACTAAAAACACTGAGATGCCAACTTCTCAAAGATAAAGTTTTTCTAAATGTATTTATTCATGGACAGGCCCACCCACTTTCACTGTGTAACGGGAAGTGCCATTCAGGCTACAGTAAGAGCAAGATAGAAGGGAAGCCATTTTGCTGTTATGACTGTCTTCAGTGTCCAGAAGGGAAGATTTCTAACAGGGAGGGTAAGAGATATCATATACCTACCTCACTTGAAATAGCATTGAATGAATCTGTGAGCCAAGGATATCATGAGAAAATTTAGCAAACTATTGAAGATTGACAGTTTCACTTGGCAGATCAGACTATAAAATAGGGATTCAGTAACTAAATTGCAAACATTTCCGTTACTGGTAGCAAGTAGTGCATCTCAGACCAAAGATTTATGCAAATCCAAATTAATGGCAACTATACTAAAGTATATACTTTTCAGAATTTAAAGGGCAGTCCTCATTTTGAACACTTGTACAATCAATTTTAATTCCTTCACTGCAACTTTCTTTCATAGACATGGATGAATGCTTTCAGTGTCCAGAAGATCAGTATCCCAATGAGAAGCAGGATTTGTGTTTTCTCAAAGTTATAACATTCTTGAAGTACAAAGAAACTTTGGGGACTGTTTTGGCCAGTTCTGCTCTTTTCTTTTCTTTGGTCACAGTTGGAGTCCTTTGGATCTTTATTAAGCATCAGGACACTCCCATAGTCAAAGCCAACAACCGGAACCTCACGTATGCTCTCCTTGTTGCTCTCCTGTTATCATTTCTTTGTATTTTGCTATTCATTGGCCAGCCTTCCAAGGTGACATGTGTCCTTCGTCAAACCGCCTTTGGTATCATCTTCTCCATGGCTATTTCTTGTGTGTTGGCCAAAACCATCATTGTGGTTCTGGCTTTTATGGCCACAAAGCCAAGATCCAAGGTGACCAAATGGGTGGGGAAAAGATTAGCCATGTCCATTGTGTTGGGCTGCTTCTTAATTCAAGGAATTATTTGCACTATATGGCTGACAATCTCTCCTCCATTCCCAGATGCTGACATGAATTCAATGGCAGAAGAAATCATTCTAGAGTGTAATGAAGGATCTGCCTTTATGTTCTACTGCGTCTTGGGCTATATGGGCTTTCTTGCTATTGTCAGCTTTACAGTGGCTTTCTTAGCAAGGAAATTGCCTGATGCTTTCAATGAAGCCAAATTTATTACCTTCAGCATGCTGATATTCTGTAGTGTTTGGCTGTCCTTTGTTCCAACATATCTGAGCATAAAAGGAAAATATATGGTTGCTGTGGAGATCTTCTCCATTATAGCCTCTAGTGCTGGGTTACTGATTTGCATCTTTTCTCCCAAATGTTATATCATAATGTTGAGACCTGATATGAACAAGAAAGATCAGCTAAGAAGCAAAAACCAGAGAAAAACATAACATTATATGGCTCATTAGTATTTCATATTATCAGTTGTGAGATGGTGGTTTGCTAGATGTGAGATCTGCCTTCTCCTGGCTGCAAAAAGACTTTGTTAGCTACAAATTGCTAAGAATTTGGCAGAAGAACTGATTTCATCTGGGAACTGTTCCTGGAGGACCAACTCAGAGGATCTTAAATCTTCATTAAGACACTTGCAGTTATGGCAGCAAACTGGCTGATGAGAATCTCCAGTACTGAATTTTATAGCATTTACAAGTTTATAATGTTGGCATTTTCCTGAATTTTTAGATGCCCCATTTTCCTCTTTCAATTTCTTTGGTTACTTTGCTAATGGGAATTTACAATCAAGTTTCCATTATTTGGGTGGATTACATCATTTTGCTCTTTATTCTTGGACCTTTATTTTAAGCGCTTACCACTGGATGGATGGATGGATGGATGGATGGATGGATGGATGGATGGATGGACGGACGGACAGATAGATAGATAGATAGATAGATAGATAGATAGATAGATAGATAGATAGATAGATAGATATTTTAAAAAGCCATATTATACATGGGATAACAGAAGCATTTAACATTAGACTAGTATAGCTTACCTTGTTATAAGCCCTTTCAAATTCTTCATTTTTAATTTTCAGTTTATAAGTAAAATAATATATTGCAACTCAAATATATTGAGCTATTCATTTGTGTTAGTTGACCATAACCATTTTTAATGAGTTTTGCTGACTTTTTTTGTTGTTGTTGTTGTTAAGACATTGAAATTTTAACAGAGGATCTGTGTATTCCAACAGTAACATTGTTAGAGGCTGTTAGGACTGGAGTGGTAAAAACATATCTAAAAATTCAAAATTGAAATTGTCTTTGCCCCTCAACCTCTGCAGCTAGACTTTAAAAAAGGGTATTGGGGGTGGATTACAAAACTGAAATCATGTAATGGGTAGATTCCAAACCTGATTATAGAAGTTGAGCTACAGAGAATGCCTTGAATTTGAACTATTTTTTAAAGTGCTATTACAAAAAAGTGACAAAAATACAACAAAGGAAATAAAAACTTGGCATAGTATATCATTATAACAGTAAATAGTTACAAAACTGTATTTATATAATGCAAATATTATTCAGATACATATATATTTCTAATACATTGGTATGACTATCATGTTTTTTTAACCTACTGTATTCTTAATAAATGCATCCCATATTTCATTATACTTGTCCATACAAATTCTACATCTATAGGCAATCTGTGCATAAGCGCAAACACAATCAAGTCTTCAATCTATTGAGTGAAAGGGCCATACATTTATCTTTCCAATGCTGCAGTATCAGTCTTTGTGTACATTTTTTTGCAAATCCAAATCAAATTTTACTGTGGCTGTTAACCAGCACATTTAGGCTTTGCAAACTGTAGAAGGATGCTCTGATTAAAAAAGAAGTCCTGCTGAAACTGAAGTTCTGATTCTACAATTCCACAAATCACCCAGCTGAAGCAGACTGGATCATAAAGGAAGCAGTTGCTTCTGAGCAACAAATCAAATCAGGTATTTTCAAAGCATTTTCTAGCCTGCTTGCAGATTTAATGGACTCACTTCTGGGTATACTAGGTAGACTAAAAGAGCACGGCTACCTTATGGTTTTCAAGTATGTAAGGACATAGAGCCATCAGAAGCTGTTTAATCAAGCTTTCTAAACCACATGTCTCTGCTAGCATCCCAAACTCAGTTAAAACCCAACAGGAAATAGCATATGTTAGTTACTGACTTAAATTAATTTTCAACTTAGTGGCTAGGACTCTTCCAAATAAATTCCAGCCTTCTTGGTGGAAATCACTTAGTTTCAGTATGATAGACTTCTGCCTAGTGCACTGATCTCCAGGAATTGTGACTAGGCCAAATGATTTCTTAAGCAATGTGTCAGTGGTATTGACCTTTAGAATGACTTCAAACAGGAGCCACCTTACTTTATTACAGTAAGAGCAGGACAGAGGGTTGCACCAACTCATGATTTCCTTAATATCACATTTATTATTTATTTATTATTTATTAAATTTGTATGCTGCCCATCTCCCCCAGCAGGTAACTCTGGGCGGCTAATATCACATCTCAAAATACTGGAAGAGCTTTTACAATGGGCTGCTATAATGCCCTTCCATCTGCTCTTTTGGAGGGCAAAATGTGCAGCCTTTCTAAAATAAGCTTTTCTGTCCGTATGGTGAAGAGTAAATTGAAACTTTGTGCGCTCTTTTATAAAAATATTCAGGCTATCTATCAATCACAACATATTCAGTCACAACATGAGCTTTAGGCAGGACTATGGATGACTACCTTAAACACCTAATTAGTTACTCAGGAGGGGGATAGTAATTAAAAAACAGAAAAATATACATTCTATGATCTTTACCATTTTGCATCAGTTATGAGAAAGTGTTAGAAGTCATATTTATAGTCCATAACCACTTCCTGAGAGGTAAGCTTTCAAGGATTAGACCTCAGGGCAATGTGTATACAACCATCCAGCAGACATGGTTGATTGGACCTTGCTGGATATCAAAAGTGGCTTCCAATTACAGGGGGTTATACAGACTTGAGTATTAACCACTTGACTGATAGATCATATGTATCACCTCCTCCTCCAAAGAGACTCTGTAACTGGTACTCATCATCTTCTTCAAAGACCTCCCTCCAAAATAAGGGATTAATAATTACGAACAGTTGTGCAAAATGTCTAGGTCAAAAGAAAGCTTCTTCAAAACCAGGCGCTCCTCTGCCTCTTTAAAAGCAGGGTGCACTTCTCCTGAGCTCAGGCAGTATTAGCCATCTTTCCAATCCAGCCAAATACACGCACCTAGTTCTCCAAAATAATCATCTGGGCATGGTTCTATCCTAGAGATGGCAACGCTTTTATTCCAGAGTACTCCACACACATGGTCAGATTCCAAAGCTCCAAAGAACACCAACTCTGGGGTTGAGCAGTGCAATATCTTCTCTGAAGTTGACTGAGTAACTGGCTAATGAATTCAATCCACTCACTAAACTAACTGCTGTTCTGGTTGCAATGCTATATTTTCTTTTGTTACTTATGGTAGTGAAATCCAACAAAAATGACCTCGAGAATGAATAGTATATGTTTTGGTGCACACAAGTAATGAAGTCAAGGGAAGTGGTCACTTTGGAGGGCAGACTCAGAGGAGAGCCAATGTTTCATGCAGCACCGTTCTTTTCCCCACCTTCAACCAACCTGCTCACACAAATCCAGATGAGAAGAACACAGAGTAGACAGGTAGCAAAGTGGAGAATGCCTAAGACTAGTTGGTGGGTCATGACTAAGGGGGTCACAAGGTTCTGGGGTAGGACATCATAGGACATCACACTGTTTCATTGACAGAATGGTCTGGAAGAGAAGATCTTTCTTCCTCTTCTACAAAGATGGGGAAGTTTTCTAAAGTTCTCATTAGACATTAGGTTTCTTTTCTTGTTGTCAGTAATTGCACCTTATCTATCTCTTGCCATGACAGTGAGGAAGAACAGAGGTCATGACTGCTGTGGTGAAAAACATTTTTTTTTTTTTTTAGGTAGAAGGTCACCTAGGACTGATTCTGAATTGATGACTATTCCACTGTAATTATCCATTCACACATCATTATTTCAACTTCACCTCTTTGCCCTAGAGATTTGCCATAGCCATAAGGACAAGTAGAAATATATTTAATGAAGGATAACATTGGCTTACAGAAAGAACATTTCTATTCAAGATGGTGGTAATTAGAACCTTGGTTTTAGGGCTCTTATCTCAAGCGGTGTGTGATATTCCCAAAGTTATATGTAGCATCAGTGACCCTCTGCCTTTCCTTCACAAGCAATATCAGTCAGGAGACCTCATTGTTATGGATTTTCTATCTCACATCTACATCGTCTATATGATGATAAATTTCCAAAAACGTCCCTCCAAAGAACTCTTTGAGGACATTATGTAAGTTTTTTAAAGACACGCACAGAAAACAGATTATTTTGAATTGTTATGCCTGTTTTTACAATCACATTAGCCTCAGCTCCAGTATCTGGTGGATGGCATCTTCATCATCCCCCACCTCCTCCTACATCATCATCCTCTCTTCTTGTTCTTTCTTCATAATCCTCACCCAAACAGCTCTGCTGAGACCACCTTTCAGCTGTGGGGAGAAGAAATATTCAATTGTTTCACCCCCCACCCTTTCCCACTAATTACGTGATAATAGCCAAGAACTGCACAGAAATGAATTTGTGTTAGGAAAAATAAAATTAAAAAAAGGGAAGAGGACAAACTTTTGTTAGCTCTGTGATAAGATATTGTTAGGCTAGAATGTCCCTAAAGTAGAAGTACTTTAAAGGAATGGTTGAACTGGAATATGCATAATCTCCTCAAGTTGAAAAGGGGTCATGTTCCTTACTGATCTGAGCTTTATGTTCAGTGCATAAATCCATTGTGTAACTAACAGTTTTCCCTGGAAAAGGGTGGTTTTGTATTTGTATTGTATTTGTATTTGTACTGTTTCTTCCATATCAGCTATTACTCAAGGGAGTTGGGTTTTGCAAAATGGGTGTTGTAGCAAACTGCTCATTGCATCAAGCACATTCTCAGGGAAGTCTTAGAACTACTCCAGTGATGTATATTTCCACCTGAAATGCATGTCTCTGTCAAGTTTCAAACAATTTTTTAAACTTCTTTTTAAAGGTAACTTATAGAGGGAAGAAAAAGTATCACTTTCTTCTGATGATTCACTATTGAAATTAACTTCTTTCCCAATTTTCTCTCCCTTAATAAGCCACAGAAATGCAAAATACAGTATAAATTTATGAAACTGATGTCTAGCATGACTATCCTTCAAAGCAAATGTCTCACAGAGGAAATGGAGGAAACCAATTCTCATTTTTTAGTTCAAAAATATTGGATCCTTTATTAGTCACTGTGTTTGAATTATGTTTTTACTATGATGATGGGAAGGGTCAGAGAAGATTTATAAAATGAGTATTATGTATTCATTTTAATTGATGCAAGCAAAGTTTTAAAGGAAATTGAGTGACTGTGATTCTCAAATTTGCACCTGTGTCCTTTTGAATATCAACAATAAATGATTTCAGTTTTTTTAAAAAATAGGAAAAAAGTTATTACATGAGGGAATATGAACTAGAAGAATGTTGAGGCAAAAATTATTCTTAGCACTGATAGTTATCCAAAGAATATGAAATTTGTCCTTTTGCAGGTTACTTAAAATAAAATAAATAAATAAAAAATTGTAATGATAGTTTATCATACTCACCTGAAAGGAAGCATATTATCAGATTTTCTTTAAACTGAATATATCATTCCCATTCCAGGCTCATGACTCCAATCTACCAGCACATCTTGGCCTTAGAATTTGCCATCACGGAGATCAATAGAAATCCCCATATCTTAATGAATCATACCCTGGGTTTCCATGTCTACAATAGCTACTTCAGTCCAAGCTGGACCTACCGTGCGTCATTGGAACTCTTCTCTACAAAGGGCCAGTTCATCCCTAACTATGACTGTGATAGGCAGAATAGACCAATAGCAGTCATTGGAGGACCTACTTCTGAAGTGTGTCTCCACATGGCTACCATCCTGTCCCTCTACAAGATGCCACAGGTGTGGTGTTTTTATGGTGCATACACCAAGTAGATAAAAGTCTATCTACTATTTTCTTCTTTTTATTGAAGTATTCATGGTCTGGCATTTGGACTTTAACTATTCTGTTTCTTTGTTGTTGAGCGGGTGGGGGACTAGAGGATTCATGGGTGTGCCAAGCCTTCCCAAGGATTAATGCTGTCATTTTCCCCCTTCTTTAAGGGAAACAATTGCTAAAATGGTGGAATATCCTCAGGGCTACAGTGTAGAAGGAATAATTAATGGGAAAATATACTACTTTGCCATTCCAATTCCCATGAACGCTATTGAAAGAAAAGAATGGGAGAGGAATTTGGGGGAAAAGATATATAGAAAATGAGATATTGGGAAGTTTTTACTTTTTACTTTTGTTTTTTGCTTTAATACAGACAGAGAAATAAGATCTTAGTGGAAATTTTGCATCAATTGTACCTAATATACACTGTAAGAGAAATTCTTGTATTGCTGTTGCAACATAACATTAGAAACTCCAGATTTAGAGAATATGTTACAAACATTGCTTTAGTCACATAACACTTTATGTTCAGTTTCTAGGAAATTTACATGATGTACATACTAGGAACGTATGGTACAACAATGTATCAATTCTGCTAATGCAGTTCAGCCTTGAGAGTGACAGCGTACCAATTTCCATGTATAATTTAAGGACAAATCTCACCATTTTAATCTCACAATTTTCCCCCCTAGTCTACACTTTAATGAATTATTGGGTAGATTCTGGACTTCCTGGTCTGTTAGTATGCGCTGAAAATGAATGTTAAATATAGATGAATTCCTGAAATATGGATTGGATCTTCATTTTTATTTTGAGGGCTAAAATGGAGAAATAGTGCAACTACAAACCAAATTTTTAAAATGTAAACAACTTGTTTCATTTGCTCAATGGCCTAAATATGTATTTTTCTTAGCTAATATATGGCTCAGCTCCAGAAAGTAATACAAAAAACCAGGTGGTTTCATACCAACAGTTGTTCCCAGATATGGACCATCAGTACAAGGGCATTTGTCAATTATTGCTGCATTTCAGATGGATGTGGATTGGGGTCCTGTCTATGGAAAATGAGAATGGTGAGAAGTTCCTACAAAGTGTGGTTCCCATGTTTGCCCAGAGAGGGATCTGCTCAGCCTTTGTTGAAACATTTCCAATAATTGTTTATTCAAATAGCATTGCTGAGTTGGTCGAAACGGGCCTTGAAATGTACAAAGTGGCTATGACTAGCACTGTTAACGTAGTAGTCATTTATGGTGAAATTCAGGAAATGATAATTCTGAGACTTTGTAGTAATCTGAATTCTGATGATGCACCACTACAGAAAAAAAGTAAAGTCTGGATCATGACACCTGAGATGGATTTCTCATCACTTCCCTTTCTAAGAGATAGTGACCTAGGCTTCCTCCATGGTGCTTTATCCTTTGCAGTTCACACTGAAAAGGTGTTGGGATTTCAGGAATTTGTTCAGAGGAGAAAGCCTATGTTGGAAAAGGAAGACAGTTTCATCAAGATCTTTTGGGCAAATGCATTTGAATGTTCCTTCCCCACCTCTGGAATGGAGGAGGAGGATGGGGTCGCCTGTACTGGAGAGGAGAAACTGGAGACTCTTCCTACATCCGTCTTTGAAATGGACATGACTGGCCACAGCTACAGTGTCTACAATGCAGTCTATGTAGTGGCACATGCTTTGCATGACTTCCATTCTTCTATAATGAAATACAAAGCCGGAGATCCTGAAGACAAATTGGAACTTCTGAATCAACAACTTTGGAAGGTAAAGTTAAAAACCAATTTCAGACTGTTCAGTGTATCTGCAAAATAGACTAAATTGAAAATAAATACATTATTCCAAATGAGTAATGAAAGGTGTAATTTTGCTAAACATCGTTTTCTCTCTAGCTGTAGTTCAGGCAATTTCTTTTTTAAAATAGTATTCTATATATTCATTTCAAAAAAATATCTTCAGTATGTATGCCTTTCATTTTATCTTAATGAAGTTATTCCTATGTCCCTATACGATTGTTCTTTCTGTTTCTTAAGCATCCATTTTTAAGAAGTTTATCAGGTTCCAGCATTCCTTCCAGGTCCAAGACAGGAAGTCCTTGGAGAATGCTGTCATGTCTGCAATTTATGTTTTATGGACACCTATGCAGGCTAAATATGAAATAACGGTTCTCATTCTCATTCATTATTCAAATGATGGAGGATGGAACTAGGTGATCAGCTACACTGGGCTTGACACTTGCTAAGAGTGAAAAAAAAGGGGAAAAAAAACGGTTGGGGAACTGGAAGCTATAGGAACCTCAGGTGAAGGGGATGATGTGATCCTAGAATTCCCCCTATATATACAGATATATACAGATCAAAATAGACAAGGCAGTGGTAAGAGAACACCTAGCTGCTTTGAAAGGCTTTAAGGTGCTGAAGATGGATAGATTACGTCCCAGAGTGCCAAAGGAACAGAGGGGTGTGACCTCAGAACTGCTAACGGTCATCTTTGAGAACACTTACAGTACAAGGGAAGTGGCTGAAGTGTTGCACTTCTCTGTTCATCTGGGCATTTTAATAGTTCCTAAAGGTACTGAAAATTGTATTTTTTAATTCCCTATTTTTTTTCATCCTCCTGATACTGTATTTAGGTCTATTATGTATGTTAATTGTTTTACTCTATATCTTTGTCTTCTGATTGCCACATCATTATAATCATGATTAACACTATTTATTTATTAACATTTTAACACTATGTATTTATTAATAACACTATAAATAACATTTATTAATAACACGATGTATTTATTAACATTTTTATTACATTACCTAAGCTTCCTTCCTTAAGCTTTCAAAGCCTTATTACTGATAACTTTGAAAGGGGAATGAAGGTAATCACTTTATGGTAACAGTCTATGCATGGGATATCCTTTCCTTACTTGAGCTCTCAGGCTAGAGATGTAGAGCTGTGATGTCGTCCTTTCATACCACAAGTTTCATGACTCCTTCATCCCAGAGAGGGGCCTATTTCTTGACACTGCATTGCCTCTTGGTAATCAAGTAATGCTTAAAACCATTGAGTGGCCCCTGATACATCTCTGTTTACTTCACTTTCTTCCAAATTTAGCTCAATCACTTTATGAAAAGCATCTCATTCAATAATACTGCTGGGCAAACAATTTTTTTCAACCAAAAGGGAGAATTAGAGGCTGGATTTGATAATATTAATTGGATCACATTCCCTAACCTGTCATTTCGAAAAGTCAGAGTTGGAAGAGTAAACCCCATGGATTCCCAAGAAGTAATGTTCACCATTGATGAGGATGCTATTATATGGCCAAGGAGGTTTAATCAGGTATGGCACAGTTACATTTTGGCTTGTGGATAGACATCATTTCATCTTTCTGTGAGCTCTCTTCAATCCAAACTGCCATGCAGCAATTACATTCAGATGCACAGTACTTCATATATTCCAAGATCTCTAAAGATTTTCCAATCCATCTGGGTGACCAGTCCAACTGGTGACCCCCTGGGCATCTTGTAAGGTCTGTGTCTGAATGGAAGGATGGGGGGGGGACTTTTAGGAAAGAGTAGTTCTGTATTTTGGCGATTGGACTCAGAAATAGAAGAGAACATTTTTGCCAGCTCTCACAGAATAAAATAAGTTGGTCAAATGAAAGATCTGAATCAAACATTCAAAAAACAAATGTTACACAAAGCTTTAGTGGGTAACAAGGAAAGTTTTCCTGCAGCAATTTGGATTTCATAGAAAAACAAAACAGAATAAACATCCATCCAGTTTGCAAACACCTGCATAACTTATAGTCCTTATTTAATGCTATTGAGTGCTTAATATTGGTAGGTCTGAGTTCTCTCACTCCATCTGAAGGCTTCCTTCTCTCTTGCTCTTAAACTGAAACAGAAGGAAGCTCACACAGGCTTGCAGGCAAGCAAGCAAAGTAAAATGATATTTCTAAACACAGTATAACTAGGAAATAATATTTTTTTTCTATAAAGAAAAGGCATTTTCTTTTCTGCTTCATGAACAGGTCCAGCCTCTATCTCTGTGCAATAATAAATGCCATTCAGGTTATACAAGGCGCAAGATAGAAGGGAAACCATTTTGCTGCTATAATTGTCTTCGATGTCCACCAGGGAAGATATCCAACAGGGAAGGTAAGGGCATATAGTATTTGAGCCAGAACAATACTGAATATTTTAGAAAAACACTCAAGTTTAGTTGTTATATTTGGCATATGAATCCAGTAAGGAAAGTGATAATGACCCATTGAAAGATGTGTTTTAGTTCATTCAATTAATTCCAGCATCCATACAAACAAGCAAAGATCATGGAAATGTAACTTTATTGAAAATGTGCTATGGAATGACAATGGAACATGTCATTTGCATATTTCATTGCAATTTGTAACTGGTTATTTAATTTTCCAGACATGGATGACTGCTTCCAGTGTCCAGAAGATCAATATGCAAATGGGAATCAGGTTTCTTGTCTTCCAAAAGTTATAGCATTTTTGATGTATGAAGAGCCTTTGGGGACCGTTTTAGTCAGTTTTGCTTTTTTCTTTTCTATGCTCACAGCTGCAGTCCTTTGGATCTTTCTTAAGCATCAGGACACTCCCATAGTCAAAGCCAACAACCAGAATCTCACCTATGTTCTCCTTATTGCTCTCCTGTTGTCTTTTCTCTGTACATTGTTATTTCTTGGCAAACCTTCCAAGGTGACATGTGTCCTTTGTCAAATTGCCTTTGGGATCATCTTCTCCGTGGCTATTTCTTGTTTGTTGGCTAAAACCATCATTGTGGTTCTGGCTTTCATGGCCACCAAGCCAGGGTCCCAGATGACCAAATGGGTGGGGAAAAGATTAGCCATATTTATTGTGTTGGGCTGCTCATTTATTCAAGGAATTATTTGTGCGACATGGCTGACAACCTCTCCCCCATTCCCAGATGCTGACATGAATTCAGTGGCAGAAGAAATAGTTCTGGTGTGTAACGAAGGGTCTGTCTTCATGTTCTACTATGTCTTGGGCTATATGGGCTTCCTTGCCATTATCAGCTTCACACTGGCTTTCCTAGCAAGGAAATTGCCTGATGCTTTCAATGAAGCCAAGTTTATCACCTTCAGCATGTTGGTCTTCTGCAGTGTTTGGTTGTCCTTTGTTCCAACGTACCTGAGCACAAAGGGTAAATATATGGTTGCTGTGGAGATCTTCTCCATGATAGCTTCTAGTGCTGGGTTACTGATTTGTATCTTTTTTCCCAAATGCTACATCATTGTGTTGAGGCCTGATCTGAACAAAAAAGAACAGCTGAAAAGAGGAAAAAACAGAATAATATAAATTCTATTGCTCTTTCCTATTTTGTATCAGGTATGGGAAAGTATTAGGAATCACATCTATTCCACTAGCATTTACTAACAGGTAATCTCTCTTGAGTTTTCAAGATTAGAACTCAAGATAATTACATAATGTAATTGATTCTACTTCCTTTACAAATTGTGTCATTCTTTTTTTTTTTAATTTGAACTTGTTCTTATTGTAAAAGTTGGACTGAGATCTATGATTCTGCTCCATTAGTTATTATCTATGAGAATTTATTTATTCCTTGAAAAGAAAGTGGAAAAGTTACATAGACTAGTTTCTACCTTCAGACACTATTAGAAAGACAGTGGGAGTGGTGTATTGCCACTGTGAAAATGGTATTTTCAAACATGCAAAATCACAATGAGTACCTGTAGACCCACACATTTAAAGTCACCTGAAGGCACTATAGACAGATTCCAAAATTATAATTATAATTCCAGAACTATAATTTCTTTTGTAATCTGAATTGATGCCATGCAGGATAGTTAATGTTGTGATAAAGATCCATTTTTCCTATAAAGGGCAAGTTTCGAAAAATGGAATGCAAGTGTTCTAAGTCAATATTTTTGGCTAAAGAAGCTGCATAAAAAGCTTGAAAAATTCAATTCTCAATAGCTTTTAAATGGATTTTAAAAAATATTTAGTTCAAGTCTAGGCTTCTGGTGGGAAGTGATGTTGGGGAGATGCTCTCCGAAGGCATGGAGAGCGACTGCAACTGAGAACGCCAGCTGGGAGTTGGATTCTGGCCAGCATAATCTCCCTGGATCAAAGGGAGATTGTGAGATAAACCACATGTGCTCCAGACAGCGGTTCCTTCTGAGTGAACTACAGAAACAGAAAAGATTTTGCAGCTGGCTCGGGAGTTGAGCCACCAGGTGTCCTGGAATTTCACATATGCTCCTAATTGCAGTGGAACCAATATGGACATTAAAGCCTTGCTTTCCCCATTTCTTAATCACTTTGAGAAAGTAATTAATGACAGATGAACAGAGATTTCCTCTGCAGTGAAGATAAAGACTCCTTGCCATGTTAAACATTCTTTTAAGATTACAAAAAAGAAAAGCAAAGGGAGACTTTGATTGAAAGATTCAAAAACTATCTGCAAAAAAGTTGAATTAAGAAAAGAGCTAAGAAAGTTTTTAAAGAGACAAGGGTGCAGTCTTTTTTTTCTTATTTTTCTATTTTTATTTTTAGACTTTTTACTTTTGATGAAAATGGTCTGGGTTAATTTTTCACTAAGCCAGTTAAAGAGACTAGCCCAGCATGGGAATGTTTGTTGTTTGTCCTTAAAGAGTATATGTGATTGGTGGAATCTGCACAGTGAAAGGTAAGGTAAAGAATTGGACTGTGTCATTTAGTTGTCATGGAGATGTGATGCCTGTTGTGCCCCAGATGGACCCTGTGCAAAATCTGGGGGTCCTCCTGGACTCATGACTCCTGATTCAGGACCTGGTGGCAGTCATGGCTAGGAGGGCCTTTGCTCAATTCTGTGTTGTGCACCAGGGTGGATGCAACATCTCTTCCAGATGGTGCTTCCTATCTTCAAAAACACCCTTTATAGTGAGTAGTTCTTTCTCCCAGATGGTGAAATTGGTTTCAGTTGAAGTCATCTTCATTGAGTGACAGGTGCAGGACAACTATAGTTGATCCAAAGTTGTACACTACAAGTGGACTACTGGGATGGCAATATTGGAGGCAGTGGCTTCAACTATGAAAGATTTAATGGGGATGGGGTGCTGCAGAAGTGATGCAGAGGCAAAGATCTTCTTCAGGCACATCAGAAAGACTGCTGTGCTTCAGAACCTCTTTGGAAAGGCACTGTGCTGTGGACTAGACTAAAGGTGGGAATGATGATGTGCCAGAAAGCAGGATAAACTTGTGATAGTAAGTTTCAAATCCCCAGAACATCTTGTTTGTTCCTCAGGAACTGTCAAACTTGGATTACTTGAACTATGGCCAGGCCTTGGACTAGAATATGACCTTGGTGAGATTGAATGCACTCTTTTTAAACTTAATATATTGATAGTGCTTTCGGACAGTGTGTTTGATATGGGTGATATGTCCCTGGGTTGTCTTGGAATAAAGTACGATGTGATCTAGGTGAAAGACCACCAGAATGTATACTGGAAGACCGGTAGATTGTTAGAGTCCAGATGCCATGATCAAGTATTCAAAATGGTCTGCCAAACTTGGTCTAAAAGGCAGTCTTTCACTTATTCTCATCCTCAACCCAAAGCAGTTTAAATCTTGTGTAAACATACAATTTGGTGAAGAAAGTAAAAGAGTATAGTCATTCCAGGAGGTCTGAGATCAATAGAAGGAGGTACAGGTTGCACATTGTGATTTGGTTTAAGGTCGTATAATTATTACAGATCCCCTTCATGGATCACTGCCTTGTCGTGGCGAAGGGGCTTGCGTAACTCAGTGAAG